TCTGGTGAGCTTTCTGTAATTTGCAAATCAAAACCAAACAAAATCAACCAACCAAATCTTTTCCAGGGACACTGTGGATTTCCTCAGGCTATAAAAATGTTCAAGCTGCTAAACATATCAAACCTGTTTTCCTGCATTCCATGGCTATAGCCTACCTGTACCCTAAAGCTAAGATGAAATCCCTATCTCACACTGATTCTTCCTAAAAGGTTACATTTGCAAGCCCTTTAAATAATGCCCTTCCCAAATTCTGTTTTGGAACATAAAGGAAACAGGTAAGTGTCATGATGGAAAATATTACAAACGGTACTTTTGTAGGGATATAATGTGTGAAAGATGCAAATGCACAAGTGAAAAGAGAGACTCAAAAGATAGTCATGAATGTTGATCTTAGCACTATCAACATCTCTTTTTTGTCAGAAATGTCATCACAGAGGTGAAGAAGGAGTAGCAACTGTGAGTCACGATGGCAAGTGTGGGCTCTGGCATGATAGGGAACTTGTTTTCTCACTGTCTGTCTGTTCCATGAGCCATCATCCCCCAACAGCTTGCTCACAGACCACTGCTTTTACAGACCACATGAGAGCAGGACCAAATTCTTAGCTGGGAGGTAATTCTGTGGGTGCTTACCAAGTAAGAACCACACTGTTGGTGTCTGATGAAATCCAAACCCCTTTAATTGGCCTTTCCTTACAGTGGATGGGTGCACAGGACAAACCAGATCCCCTTGGGGCAATAGTAAGAGCATCCTAAAGGCAAATACCAACCTTCTGTATGCAAAGTGACTGTCTCAGCTTTGATATCAACAGCATATTTTCTCCATCGCTAGTAGTTTGCCTGTCGGTGTCCTGTCTTCCTAGTAGAGATGGAAGAAGCTCATACTAAATCCAGGCTATGTTTGTGAGCTTTCTAGAAAATCTTTTATAGGTGTATATTCTGATTCTTATTGTTATGGCAAAGAACTAAAATACCTTGAAAGAAAAATGTTTGCTGCAGCAAAAAGCTGGGTACCTAAGGTTGTAGGAAATACCATGCTATACCATTCTTACCTTCTATATAATCCTCCGTCTTGTGTCTTACAGCAGCCAGTTTGGTCCTTTAAAGAATAGCACAAGAACCGTAAAGTAGACAATTATAGCTAAGGGCCCTCAGCTATAGCACAGTAGCTAATAAAGATATGGTACTGTGAAATGCATGAAACTGTAATTTTTAATGCTTCTATGTGTCCTCTGTGCTATTTGGACTGACGCTTTCAGCACTGATCTAGTGCTTTACATCTTTAAAGCACCATACAGCCGTGAAATAGGCTGCAGGAAAAAGCAAGCATTTGGCAGCTAATCACCTGGCAAGTGTAAAAGGAACAACTCTGTTGATCAGGAGGTGGCCAAGATAACATCCATCTTTATCTTCTGGGTCTTTCTGCTAAGCTGGATTATATAATTTTGTTACTCTTTGGACAAAATGTGGGAGAATGTACATACTGCCATTAATAATACAAGGAAAATGGGAAAACAAGAACAGTGGTTGCCCTAGCTTGGCACTCTATTGTATTGGCTTTGCCCTTTCTCACATAAGCTCTTCAGTATAGAAATTCTTTCCTTTGGCCTCCCATTTTTTTACTTCAGTACATTTACTGTGAAGCATTACTAGTGTTTTCTGTAAAATTATCCTATGGGTTTGGTTTTTTCTACAAACACAGTAAGGGCTGTGGAGCTTTCCCTATCTGTGAAGCTGATCTGCAACGATGAAAAAGCTGTACACACTGGGTTTGGCTCGCTCTATGTAACAGAAAAGGGAAACCTGTCAATCAACAAGAAATGCTGAGAGCAGCAAGTGAAACACTTTGCTTTTTCCATCAGGCAACCAGGGCCTCTTTGAGGATTAAACCTATTGCTAATTTTAGCTGCATCTCACTAGAGTTAGTATCAGGAGTTATCAGATCAGAACATCTTTGGAGGGAATGACGTCTGTCCCATGGAAGTCTAAGCCCTGGCATGCTTCTCTCCTACCCTGTGCTGCAGCAAAGTTTGAAGCTGGGAACATTCTGCACAGCCAGCACAGCGTGGGACTCTTGAAACATGGTAGGATTTTTCAAAGCACTTGAAATACCTACTCTCATCAGCCTGCTCTTGTTTATTGTTCCGTCCAGGTCCTGAGCAAAATTTGTTGAAGAACACTGAAATGGATGTCACAGGAGGGAATAGTTAAACCACACGAAACATTCTAGTGCTTTTTTTCTGGAGTTTTTTAAAATATGCATAAGGCTTGCACTGACCCTCGTTTCCATCGATTGGGTCATACAGAGACTTTAAATCCCACACTCCAATGCAACTTTTCTCAACTGCTCTGATAAATGAAGGAGCATTAATAAACATATTAAAAGATCTGGGGGGGGAGACAAGCAAAACCCTGCAAAAAATAAGTAGCCCTTTGCAGGTCCTCATTTAGTGAGCCAGGTAGATTGACTGTGTCATGTTTTCCTCATCACTCCCATCTCTGTGCCATGGAAGCAAGTTACTCCATCCCTCTAGGGAATGCCCAGCTACCATTTTCATTCCAGCTGGAGCAGAGTTTTAAGGAAGAAGCCTATGTACAGGTAAACTAGGGCTTCCCAGAAGTGTAGAAGCAGCTTGGTAGAACCCTGTGCCCCTGCAGCAATGGTTAAAAATATGGTGCTTTTTGAAAGATCCATCTTTGCTTCTTGGGATGAAGGGCACTTGTCTGGAATTGTACCAAAGACTACCAGTGCTGAGCCATGGAAATTCAAGAGAGGTTCCATACCTCTCACTGTCAAAGGCTTCACTAAATGAAACTTTTGACTCTTCTTTTTGGCAGTTGTCTTCTCACTACTAATCCCATTCCAGATAGATAAGGTACTTTGAAGGTGTACAGAGCTTTAATTTTAACATATCTTGGAATATTGCTCTTCTTGGTTAGCAGCTATGATTTGACTCAGTCTGAAAGACTTTGAAGAGCAAGGCCTCTGGGCACTTAGAAAGCAGAGTGGCAGCTAACAGTACCATACTAAATAAATATTCACACTCGTTCAAAGCATTTTGATTTTTTGCTGTTTTAAATATTGAAGCTCCATATAAATATGCTAGAATTTTGTGTGTGTGGTTCTATCATGCGTATATTTACCTGTCCCAGGTGCATGTCCTCCTTCCTCTTACAGTGACAAAAGGAAAGACAGAGTCAACTGGTATAAACGCCAAAGAGAGTTAGTTTCCATATTTCCCTTCCTGAAATCTCAGAAAGTCTGCTTGGATGACTACGCTACAAATACAAGACAGCAACGGACCTTTTACCATGTTACTTCCATTTATAACATGCTCAGGCATACTTGTAGGACATATCAAAGTTTGATCTCTCCAGTTAGAATCATTTTGTCATCAGGCCAAGGAAACTTTAAGTAGATCAAGGAGTGTGTGGCTTCTGAGACTGGCAAGTGTAAAAGAAACAACACATATTTCCTTCAAGTGCCAGAGGACAATCAGAGTCACTTCACAACTTTTATTTATTGACGGCTTTTATAAAACAAAATTCCCCTTGAATCAGACATCTAATAAAACATTTATGGTCTTGTGCATGCTAGTGATACATCAGGTTTCAGTAGACCAGTATCTGCAAAACCAGACAGTTGAGTTGTCAGGTAGAATTCCTGTTTTCTACTGAAGGGGAGGGAAACTCACAAAATTAAGGCACTGTCAAAACCCAAGCCCACAAATCATTTGACCTTTTGTACTGGCTTTCATCTGGCTGTATACAAGATTCTTTTGATTTTTTTTTTTTAATTAACCACCAATTTCCATTTTGAACAGGGACACACTAAAAAAATAAAAATGCTTGTCTTAAATCCTCCTATTTATATTCCCAGTTGCAAGATGACAGCAGCAAACCTTCTTGCTAGGGATGGCAAGATGCTGCTTAACTGAAAGCCCAGTGCTACATCCCCAGGCATGCCATTTTCACCACAGTGATACCAGCCCTTGGCGATTAAAAAATCCTTAGAACAGGTTCTGGTCTTTTGGGTGCAATGCTCAAGATGACATTTTTAAGAACAAAATGAGTTGTAAGAACAGCTTAAAATTAGTCTACATGTCAGTATTGACTAAGCAGAACATGAACAAACTGACAGACTCCTCCCTGAGCCATGCAAGGCATTTCATATTCTTCACTCTTCGGGCACAAGCTCTTTCACGGACTAGTAGTTTGGCCGAAAGGGACCTACAAAGGATAATTGGTATCTTCAGCTGGTGTGCTTTTATCAGTCCTTTAAAGTAGTTTTAATCAGCTGGTGTGAAATGCACTTCTTCAGCCTTTATATCTTAATTTAAGAATATAGGAAGTGTTCTTTCCTGCATCCAGTGAGAGCGTTCAGGCTGTCCTTCAGCACGCTAAAATCACTGCTTCAAGCACAAACCAGCATGTAGCTGTGGGCTTAGGACCATACTTAGAAGTATCCAATTCTCTATATAAAGATGTATATATTTTAAAAAAAGCCAGTTCCAGGTCCATGAATTAGGTGTCCTGGCAATTATAAATAAATAGTAATAAATACTTATTTACACTCACACACCCTTCTTGTATCCCACAGGATTACAAACAAACCAGAACCATGCTTCTTCCCTAGTTAAATAAGATCAGGTTTGAGGTGGAACACGCTATTATTAACAACGTGCAGCAACGCTACACAACAGTTTAGAATAATAACAGTACCAATACATAGCACTCGGAGCATTTCACAGCTTTAAAGCTCTTGCAAACACAGACTTAGTTAAGAAAGTGACAATGTTCTATCCATTAAGAATCAGAGGGAACTTAAGAGAGAGAAAATGGAGTTTGGCCAGGACACCAGTCGACGTCCTTATTGCCTGTAAAATGTCACATTAATTGGAAATATGGCAGATGTGAGAGCTAGGAAAAATTAGATCAGGCTCATATGAGACCATTTAATTTCCTTGAGTATGAAATCAAATTTCCACATTGATTGTGTCAAACCAGTTTGTTGTTTTGGTAGACATCAAAAAGGTCAATGAAAACTCAAAGGAACTTAAATTGCAGAAGCACAAACCACTACCTCCATTCATAAATAAGCACAGTGAAAGATTTTACATCAGTTGAAAATGCTGCATCTTAATTGCTGACAGCTTGGGAACTGGCACCCACTTATCATCCTGGCACAAATCTACAAATCCCTGAAAATATGATCATAATAGAGAGACAGAGATCAAGAAGCAAGCAGCAGCACAGAGAGCACAAACGAAATTCAGGGACCCGCCTGGCAGTGTCCTGGCTTCCACCAGTCTGAGAGAGAAGGACTGGAGGATAAAGGAGGTCACAGGTGGCTTTGAGACTCATCTCTGGAGGAATTTTCTTGGCCTATTTACTGTGCAGTTGGTTTTTTATTCAGCTTTTTTTGCTTTCCTTTTTCTTGTGCCTTCATTTAGCTCCTCTTTTGACTTTGCAGGAGGAGGTGGAGGATGGGAAACCTCATGGGAGGCCCCATGCTGATCATGATGATGACTAGTGTGTCCACTGGAAACAGAGCCAAAGAAAACTGGGCAGATGAAGCTTTCCACTGGAGCGAAAGGTGAGGCGTGAGAGTGAGTTGCCGTCATGAAAACCTGCCGTGCAACAGCGAATACTTAAAGTTAAAGATCACACACACCAGCTATGAAATGCTAACTAGTAAGGAGCATTCCACTTACCCCAGATAAAAGTTCCTACTGCTACATTACTCAAAGCTATATCACAAAGATCTTCTACCATACTAACAATATGATGGAGGCTTTAGCCTATAATTTCCTAAGCAGATCTTTCCTGGTATGTACAGCCAATGCCTTCACTAGTGGCTTAGGAAGGTGAACACCCCCAGTTTAAGCCTGTACCCTTTCTCTGGTTCTGTAGATTTGTTAGCAGCAAACCTGCTGTAAACTTACCTTGCAAACTATCATGAACATGGTGAAAAAGAAGATGAGGTTGGCTTCAGAGACAGGGAGCCAGCGAGTTTGTTGCAGAGTGAAGAGGACTGTGCCATACAGACTAGCCTTTGTAGGGCTAGAAGAGAAATAAAGAAGTTTTCTAGGAGGTTTGCATAATTTGCATCCAGTCCTGAATGGTTCTTTAAATACCATTTTTGGTCTGACAGAGAATTTACAAGCTACCTACTTACAAGGACATACGAAGAATTTCGTTGGTTTCTGGCTTCCAGACCCCACGCAGCAGTTGCTCAAAGTTAGACATCAAGGCAACACCAGAACCTGTGAAACGGTAAAAGTGAACAGCTAGAACCGCCACACCAGAAGAGAGCTCTGCTGTCTTTCCTAGATCCCCAAGGGATAAGGATAACCTAAGGGGAACAAAAGGTTCATGACATTCTTCCCAAATTTCAAAGTTAGACTAAAACAACAGAGCAGAGCAAACACTTTCTAGACTTTCCATAAAGTGTTTCCTTATGCAGGGAAAGGGCATTTGCCTCTGCTCCATTTACTGATGCTCAAATGCTTGCTCCAAACAAAAGCTAAAGATAAGCTGACTGGGCTGTTTCAACACTGGTAGAACCCTCCTGAAAAGGTACAGGCAAGGCCAGAGACAGTAGAACACAAGAGAAAGAATAAAGAATTCCAGAATTCTACACCCATATTTCATAGTGACTCCAGTTCTTCATGCCTCCATTAAAGTCAGATGATGACTCAACTGACAACCATTCTGCAAGTATGAATAAATACCTGTGTTCTAGGGAACTTGAATGATTGAAGCCAGCTGACCACATACTAACCAGCCTGCTGGTCAGCACTGAGTGATGTGATCACCTTAAGCTTTGCTCACATGTTCTCCCGTCCCTCCCCACAGGGCTGGGTGCCTCCCTGCTGCGTCACAGGTAACTCATGTTTCACCTTTGACCCATCCAGTAGCCATCATAATGAACCAGCCATGGTGGTAACGGTGATGAGCGTGGTGGACCCCAGCTGCAATTTTGCGAACTCTGACCACTTCCTTCATTGCCACAAAGATGAGCTTCATAGGCAGAAAGCTAACACACTTGTAGAAGAGGTTCATGGGACAGAAGAATATCAAATACCTGGAACAAAACCACAAAGTTTAAGGACCCCTTTGTTTGTCCTGATCTGGGACGTATAGAGAGGATTGATTAAGAGTACTTCAGGTGTTAGCCTGAATTATGTCAGGGAGAAGGAAATGCTGGTTCTGTCACGCAACCCATACGCAACAAGGAAATAAAACGTGGAATAACTGTGGTTAATTTGTGCACATTTCACTAAGACAATGAGTAAAATGCCCCCAAATCTTCAGTGTGTGCCACTCCTCTACTACATGTGATATCAGTGCAGTGCATGCTGCTTTGGCGGCTTGGCCACAGTTCAGCTGCAGCAGCTATGAATAGAAACGCTTGGCGATTGGACTGAACCCAACCCGTATAGTCAAAGCATTAGACAGCTGGTCAGAGAAACTGGAAACTAGATCTAGGAATAACAAAAGACTCAAGGACTACCTCACCCCACCTCTTCTTTCCCCAGTTAATCCAAGCAAGATAATACATGTGTGTCACACAAATAGAATACCTCCCTTCACACCAGATGGTTCTGTATGCAGCCAGCGGCGTCTCGTGCTTAATAAACTAGGTGAAGTGCAAAAGACTCACCAGACTGCTGTGGCCAGGATGACACTGGAGTTATTACTGAAGTAATCAATGGGTGATTCTCCAAGTAATAGATCAGCAAGTATGTAACTTCCAAAGCAGTGGAGCATAGCACAAAGCCAGGAGGCAAAAGGGCTCTTACGAGACATCTCCACGGCTCCTGTGAAGCAAATTCTAAATGAGAAGATGGATTTGGCAAATAAGCAGAAACTTCAAGACCCTCTAAGAAAGAGGCTTATAATGCATATTCTCCAAGAAAATAAGTCAAAGAAAAGTGCTTGTAAAACAAAATACAAAAGTGTATTCTGTGAAGCCTGAACAAGTACCAGATATTGTCAGGAAATGGTATGTATGATCATAGCTTGCAGGCTCCCCGTAAGGGTTCAAATGATCTGAGTCATTAGAAGTTTATGAATTGGCGAAGAGTTTATCTCTTGTATTTGCTGCTACTTACTGCAATCAGGAAGAACAATTTTTCCCTTGAAATCAATGTCTTTTTATAGTCTAAAAATAAAATGCATACTAGTACCATTCTCTCCATTGCTTCAACCTAGGTGCCCTCTAGAATTCATGAACAATCTGTTCAGCTCTTTCATTCATAAGATAACCTGTAAAAATAGAACAGTAATTCTTAATCTTTATTAGAAAGAAGAGGATTTGAGGATTCTCTCGTGCTCCTGTACTAGTTTGGAAATGGCCTCTGAAATTACAACTAGATATTAAAACAGTGTTACTATTTGGTAATGCATTACGGTCTCCTCCCACAACCTTCTATTGCCTTTTTTTTATTCCTCTAGCCATTTTCATCCACCTCAGTACTTCAAGGAAGTCTCTCAAGAACATCAATTCTATGAGATTGTTTCATCACCTTAAACTGCTCCAGAGTCCTTTGTGCAGCGTTTCAGCTCTGTTCAGTAAGCCAGTACTAGGCCATCAAAAGAGAATGCTAAAATGTTATGTCAACATTACTAACAGTGGCCTACCTTAAATAGCAGTAAGTGAATCAGCATATGCTAAAACTATGACGGCTCAGACTCTTCCATCCTCAGAGACATTTGAACCAGCTGAAAATACAGTGGAAGCGAGACAGCTGCAACAGTCATGATACAGAGCTGGTTCTATATGAACCTGAAGTTTAGCTTGAGGCTTAAATTTAGTAACATCTGTTTTTCTTTGGCTCCATGAAGCCATGCTGTCTCCAAGGAAGCAGGACATTACTGTCCTGACACAGATCTTCAGCATAGGAGCTCTGGGATGAAGCAGGGTAGGAATCTAGTGAAAAGTACACCCCAGACTTATCCAGTCCAAGTAGATTACTGAGCTTACATATTTTTAAAAGCTATTTTCATAAGGGTTGCCTGTTAACTGTTGTGTTCAGGACTTAATGCTGGAAGACAGCTGTAGGCGATTGGGCCTTGAAACCCCAGCACTTCTGTTTACATGGAGTTTAAATAGAGCAGTATGTAGGTTGTACAGCACAGAGATCTCACAACTGGAGGATTTCAAAATCATACCAAAGTGGATTTTTGTTTTCCTCTCAGTCATCGGGGCAGTTACACTGAAACTGTTCAAAATGGAGCATGAAGAGTGCGTGCACTATCAAAAACGCATAGAGAAGATGGCATTTGGAAAAAACCAAGGCACAGTCAGACTGCAACAGTGCAGAAAGTGAAAGGTAAGATGCAGATGTATTGATCTTTACAAGATAAGCCCAGGAGAACAAACAAAACAAGGTCAGTTAGGGTGCCTGAGAACAGACTATAGTCTAGAAGGTGGGGAAAAAACAAAGTTTTACTTACAGCCCTTTTACATATAAATAGGAGAGGGCAGTGCCACAAAAATAGAAGAGCCAAGCAACTGGACAGAAATGTAATGCTAAGTCCTGGGATAGCAGCAAAGAAGTACCTGAACTTCAATACTTCATTGTGGTTGGAATACAATCTTAAATAAAACGCGTGATTATTTTTCAAAGTCAGAGTCACTAGTGCGTGTTTTTTTCTGCTTTGTATTTAGACACATGGGTCAGAACCTCTGAAAAAGCAATGCAGCAAGGCTCTGAGCCCGGAATCCTTTTCGCTGCTTACAGCGAAAACCGTCAAGTACCGAACAGGCGGGCAGGATTACCTGCTCGTGCACAAAACCCGCCAGGTTTATGCCTCAGAAAACATGACGCGAGCGTTGCTGCCCTTCCCCAACACGCGGGTTTTCCCCCCAGCCCCGCCCGGCCC